AAACAATAATCTTCAAAGAAAAATCAAAAATTCCATAACATTGGCTCTGATACCACATGTAAGCAATTAATTAACCATAATACCAAGATCTTTAGAATTCATGATTTTCACATATTGATTTAATTGATCAAGAAACATACCTTGATCCATAGTAATAATTGAAAGATTTAAACATGCAAAACAGAAACTAGTAAAATTAAGAAACCGTTCTCTCTTTTTTCCTCTCTGTAATTGAATGTTTTAATTTGATGAGTTTCATTCAAGTTTATAGGTTGAGAGAAGCAGTTTCATGGGCCATAAAATAAAACTACCCACTTTTCATCAAAGTGAACAGTTATTAAATTGCCGCTTTGCAATTGACCAATAGAATTTTAGCAATAATAAATCACTTCAATTAATTTATTAATAATATTACTTGTTTCACATTAATTGATCTTACAACATGTGGTGGACATTGTGTAGTGTGATGGAGGTGGATGTAGTGTTGGTGGGTTGTGTGGTGGACTCGAGGAGTGGAGTGTAACCAGTTAATTTGATAATTTGTGACCTATAAAAATGCGTGAATTGTGACTAAATTTGTAATTCTAACCCGCGATTTATATCTTTGTGATCGACCTTGTGTGATTTGTGATTAGTACATGATTGTAATCATAAATTATGTGTTATTGTGACCTTAACCAACGTCTATGGATTACTGAAAATAAATATAGCATGGCTAACAAGAGAATTGATTCATTTTTCAAGAAAAGAACATTCGAATGACCCTTAAGTTGCCGAAGCTTTCTTTCTCAATTCGATTCTCTTGTTCGGGAATATCCTACTGAATGTGCATTTTCAGTTATGAGCATCATTAAGACGAGATTGCCGAATAAAATGAAGGACGATATTCTATCTAGTAATATGATCGTTGAAGGAGATTGGGCAGACTTTTCCATTGGATTCCCTTATTGATGAGTTTGAATAAATAAAGATGGACCAATTTAAGATGCCCTTCTTAGCTAATGTGAATATTTGTATTCATTTTGAATGATCAAGTCTATATATAAGTATACCTGGTTTAGTTTTTAAAAATTTCACATTTTATTCGTACAAAATTTGAAACTTTTTCTTATTTTATAATTGCACATTCTAAAAAAAATAGAAAAAATGAAAATATTTTTAGGTACTTCTTTCGCGAACCCCCTAGATGTAATTCATGGAGAATGAAAACAATCTAATAAGAAGTGTCATCGTGAGAAAGTTGCGTGTTTCATTCTCAAGTCTTGAAATGGTGTATTGGTGTAACTATTTCTCAAACAATTGCTATACTGTGTAGCACAATACATGACATTTCGACATATTTTTCAGACGTGAATAGTCCAAGAGGACTTAATAGCAAAGAAAATTGTAGGAAGAGATTCAAATAACCAAACAAAATTATAAGGACTCATTTGCTCGTATAAATATAGAATGAAGACTGCAAGTGTAATTTTACCAGTTGAAACATGTGCAAGGACGGAAGTGCCAAATGTACAACTTTAAGAAAATAAATTATATGGTAATTATATTTATTTACAGCACAATATTTATTTAAAATTTTTACTCTTTATTTATGTTCCTAAATTTTTATCATCAGCCTTTAATTAATTAGTTCATTTATGACGAAATATTTTATTTGAGTGTTTTGAAATGAGGGAAAATCGTTCTTTTATATTTATTATTTTAAAAAATATGATGGGCAAAAAAACCGCTCTCTCAATATACATTTTGAACTAAAATTTAATGACGGGATATGCTAATTAATGAAAAATAAAAAATAATAATACGACGTAAAAATTGTAATGTGAACACAAAAATGAACATATATTGAAAATCTTTATTGTAATTAAAATATGATGCAGTTTTTTATAAACTAATGTTTCACAAGATCTGCTTATTAATAATAAAGGAATATAATTTTGTAATAAATGGACAAGACAAGAAATGACCTGTTTCACTCACATATACACTTCAGCACCAGAATTTTCAGAAATAAAATAATAACAATAATAACTGCAGAATGGCATTTTGTTAATTAACTCAAAATCAAGGGGCATTATTACCGACATAAAACTCCAAATATTCCCTCTTGAAGCTACAAAATGAGTGCTCTGTGTACCAGACAAAATAAAAATTTTCAATTATTCATTTTTTCCATTTTTTTCTAATTTTGAAAACTCCTTAATTTTTTGTGCTTAGTCACATCATCACACAATTCTCTCTATCTAAATTTTTGGTATTCTCTCAGTCTCTGCGGGGACGATCCTGTGGATTGAGGTTCGTTTTGGGTGGAAAGAGTAAATTTTTGACCTCTGATTCTCAAATTCTCAGGTAATTCCCTGATTATTATACTCGAATTCATTTTTTGATTAATCCGATTTTCGAGTAGCTTAAATTTTCAACCTGGGTAATTTTCTCTGTTCTGCTAGTTTTGTTTCTCTTTCTTCTGTTTTTTTATTCAATACTACTTGATTATGATCTCGTAGTTTACGAATCGAGCGCTCGATTAATCTACTCAGACGTAATTCATTTTCTCGTCGTTGACGAATTGAGTGACGAAAATCATATTAATTGAAGTTGAATTTGTTTACTTCTGTTCTGTTGGAAATTTCGATGAACTTTTTCAATCTTCAGCTGCGGAGAATTGGCCGATTAGTTTATAGTGAATTTCTTGAGTTAACATTTGATTACCGTCATCAATGATTTAAAATTTGTTTTGATTAACTACTTTGAAGAGAATAAATCAGAATTTCCTTCAATTCCTTATTTTTCACTTATAGAAAATGGAACTTCTCTAATCATTCAAAACAAAAGCACATACTCCGTATTTTTCTGCTTCGTTTTCCGGTGTTATATTGTTTGTGACCATGGTTGAACTTCTAAACTGCGTAAATCTTGGAATTGCAATAATTTGTTGCATAAAATCAATTGATAGAGTTAAGGTACAAAAAACCTGAGTTCAAACCTTCATATTTTTACTCGAAAAATGAATTATGTACATACGTGTCAATAAGCTAAATCCATACCGCGAGGCGTTTCCATAAATAAACTTGGAACACTCAAGAAAAGTTAAGATTTTAGACGAAATTGTTAACAAATTTACGATATTTTGAATTTCAAAACTTATTTACGAATTGTGGAAATTATTGCAAGTCCAACAAAAGGGGGAGAAAAGCTCAAAGTTCTCCAATTCTCTTTTGGAAAATAAGGTTTCTGTATATTTATTCATTTTGAATTGCTAAAAAACTTTAGGAAAAACTCTTTTTTTTTTCTTAAAATAATAATTAAAGAAAACAGGAAAAGCGTACTTTTTTGATCATATATAAATAAAAGCATATATTTGTCTGCATTTTTTGTCGATAAAATTCAAACTGTAAGACTATTAGCTGGCCATTTGATACAGAGAATGACAACAAATCATATCTAGCTGTCTTTTTTGGATTTCAAATTTATTAATAGGTGTCTATCTCTATATACGTATGTGCTTACGTTCTAATAAAGGAAGCTCCGGGTAAGTACGTGTGAATTGTCATTAATAAAATAAAATGCTTTGGAAAAGCAGTTTTGCATTTATGAAGAAATTGATTTTAATTGACTTGGCTTGTTCATGGTGGCCATAGCAGGTGACCTTTTTCAAAAAGTTAGGAAAATGAAAATGACGTTTTATTTCTACAAAATTTATATAGCCATTCTTGAATCTTGATGAAAATGAAAAGATCACTTAATGAACTTGATCAATTAACCGGTTCAACCGAGATTCAGATTTGCGGCCATACATTGACTTGATTTCTTAATTGCAATTTTCCGTTAAAAAATATATTGCTTACAATTGATTCACTCTCGAATCTCTGACACACATCATCGTGAATATCTTGATATTATAGAACCTTAACATTTGGTTATTGATTTATATTTGTTATTCTTTTTGGTTATCAACATTATTTTACTTTCGAATTGAAATCGGTTCAACCGCTTTATCCTCCAGCATTTTTGAGTCAATGCTCGACTGAATTTTAAAACATTAGCCAACTAAGATCTTCAATAAGCAATCATCGATTGGCTCCATTACTCTATTAAAAGCGCCTTTAGGCTTTGGACATAAACAAGAATTCCACATTCGCTTTAAAAACAGTGACTTGCCTAGAAATCTGGTTTCAACATTCTCTTCCTCTTATGTTTTGTGAAAAGGGGCCAAGTCAACTGCAGTGAATGATTTTTAAAGTTGAAAATAAGTTATTTAATTTGATGTAATTTCTCCTTTATTATCAAAATAAGTAACTATTTTAAAAGAGTAAAGTAATATCCAATACATTTGGAGGAAAAAAAAAAAAATTAATCTAAACTTTGATGATCATTATTTAAAAAAAATAAAAATTGAGTTTTGAATAGTGATTTTTCGAAGAATGTGTGATTAAAAAGTAAGAATTTTTTTTGGATTTAAGTGCAAAATATTTATTGTGTGAATATGTGGATGAAAATGAGTATGAAAATTAAAAAATTCCATTTCAAAGGGAGAAAAACATTGGCCACATACCTTTTAGTGAGTTGAACTAATTGCGTGGGAAGTTGGAATTATCTGCATTAATTAAGGATTGGGAAAGTGTAGTCATTTCATCTGAGCATGGCAAATTGGAATGAATTAATCTAGATGAATAGGCCATGTTCATCTAGCAAAACTCAATTGGAATTCTTTCTTCAATTTCCATATAAAGTACGCATGCTCTAATTGTAAGCGGATGCGGATGCAATGCGCTCATTGTCCTCAATCATTACACAAATTGCCTTTATATGGATGCCTCATGATTAGTGTCTATTGTTAAATTCTAGAATGCTGGTTTCCAACTGGATTTGATTTCTGTCATGAATGAAAAGAAAATCCCCAAGTCTTTTTTGCTGAAATAAAGAACACTTTTCAGGATGAAGACGGCCTTCCATTGATCTAGATTACCATCAAAGGCAGTAGTTGAAAATCAAAAGAAGAGATGCCAAGGAATCGTTGGCAGAAATCATTTAAATCCTTTTTCGGGAGTCACATTGATCCTGAGAGAGACGAGGAGCTGAAAGGAACCAAAGCAGGTACACAATCTCTGGCATTAATACTTCTAGTATGCATTTGTTGAGTAGATTATTCAGTTCGTAGAAAAATAATCGTTTCACTATTACCAATCTCTTCTAAAGGGAGGACTTTATCTCCAGCCTAGCTGTCTTATTTCCCGTAACCACAAGACACTCTATTGATAGATACACACAAATTCCCTATTCGTTGCAGAGGTTGATGGCAAGGTGGAGGAGATTTTAAAGGCTCTTAAAGAAGAAGAAGAAGGGCATGGGAAAGGACCAGTTGCTGATCTGGTCAAGGATTTCTATAATCACTACCAATCTCTTTATGATCGATATGATCATCTGACAGGAGAATTGCTAAAAAAAGTACACGACAAACGAGGAAATGATGGTTCTTCGTCTTCCAGCTCAGATTCAGACTCGGATGATTCTCCAAGGAAAAAGGGCCCCAAAAATGGTAAAATGGAAAATGATTTCGAGAATAATACAGCAAGCATTAAGCAAGAACTCGAAAGTGCAATTCTGCAGGTTGCAGACTTGGAGAGGAAGCTGACAGCGACAACAGAAGAAAATGAAGCATTAAGTTTGGAATATCAAAGATCTTTGAGCAAAATACAAGAAGCAGAGAAAATTATAGCAGATTTGAATAAAGAGAAATTAAGACTTGTCACAGAAAATGCTGATCTCAGTATGAAACTGGAGAGTGCTGGTCAGTTGAAACAAGAGAAAGAAGCACTACAGATAGAATTGGAAGCATTGAAAGGGGAATTTTCTACCTTGAAGGAGCATCTTGAATCAGCAGAGAAGGAAGTAACTGAGTTACATCAGACTCAAAAGGCAACTGAAGAGGAGAAAAATACTCTGTCTTCAAAAATTTTGCAACTCGAGGATAACATAAAGAAGGCACAAAATGAAACTCAAGATCTGGTAACGGAATCAAGCCAGTTAAGGGAGAAACTGCATGAGAAAGAAAGAGAGCTTTTGACTCACTTGGAGATGCATGAGACCCACAAAAATAAAACATCAGCTCATGTGCATGATTTGGAACTGGAACTTGATGCATCGCATACCCAGAGAAGGGAAATAGAGAAACAGAAAGATGAATTTTCTACTCTCCTGAAAAAACTTCAAGATCAAGAGAAAGATTCAGCATCTCGAATTAACAATTTGACAGCCGAAAACTCTGATCTGAATATGAAACTGGAAAGTGCTGGTAAGGTACAAGCTGAACTGAATCAGAAACTAGAAGACAAGAATACAGAGTGGGATGGTTTAATCTTGGAGAAGGAGATGGCCATCAATAGCACTGAAGAGGAGAAGAAAAATGCAGAAATTTTGAGAACCACTGCTGATCAATTGAAGCAAGAGAAAGAAGCACTACAGCTAGAACTGGAAGCATTGAAAGCGGAATTTTCCACCTTAAATGAGCAACTTGAATCAGCAGAGAAGGAAGTGGTCAAGCTCCGTCAGACCCAAAAGGCAACTGAAGAGGAAAAATACGCTCTATCCTCAAAAATTTTGCAACTTGAGGATGAAATTAATAAGGCACAAAACGAAATTCAAGATCTTGTGACCGGCTCAAGCCAGTTAAAGGAGAAATTGGATGAGAGGGAGAAAGAGCTTTTGGCTCACTTGGAGATGCATGAGACCCACAAAAATGAAATATCAGCTCGTGCACGGGATTTGGAACTGGAACTCGATTCTTCATATACCCAGAGAAGAGAAATGGAGAAACAAAAAGATGATGAATTTTCTGCTCTCCTGAAAAAACTTGAGGATCAAGAGAGTGATTCATCATCTCGAATTAATGAACTGACAGCACAGATCAACAGTATGCTACTTGAAGTGGAGTCTTTACGCATCACCAAAAGCGAGTTAGAAGAACAAATAGTAAATAAAGACAATGTGGCATCAGCTCAAATTAAAGACTTGACAAATCAGGTCAATGCAAAGCAGCAGGAACTGGAATCTCTACTCATCCAAAAAACTGAAACAGAGACACAACTCGAGAAAAGAGTACAAGAAATTTCTGAATTCCTAATTCAGATCGAATCTATAAAGGAGGAGCTGGCTAACAAGAACTCCGAACAACAGAGGACACTTGAGGAAAAGGAGAGTCTTGTATTACAGGTGAAGGATCTGGAATTGGAGCTTAACTCATTACGCAACATAAAAAGTGAATTGGAGGAGCAGCTAAGTTGCAAAAGCCAGGAAATTTCCAAACTCCAAATTCACATAGAGACTTTAAACGGGGAGTTTGGAAAGAAGACTGAGGAACAACAGAAAATACTGGAAGAGAAAGAGAATTTTGAATCGCAAGTAAAAGACTTGGTACTGGAGCTCAACTCTCTAAGCAACCTGAAAACTGAATTAGAAGAGAAGCTGAAAAGCAAAAGCGAGGACTTTATTCAGTTGCAACAAGAAACAGAAGGTCTGAAAGTTAAAACTTCAGAGATAGAGAGGGCATTAAAAGAGAAAGGGGATGAACTCTTCAGAATAAAGAAGCAATTTGAAGATAGAGCGAATGATGCGTCTGCTCAAATAATGGCTTTGACAGGGGAAATAAGCAACCTGCAAGAGCAATTGGGTCTTTTAAGAACACAGAAAAGTGAAGCAGATTCCATTCTGGAGAAAAGAAGTGGGGAAACATCAGAATTTCGACTTCAGATAGAAAGGCTAAAAGAGGAATTATCAACCAAAACTATGGATGGACAGAGAATACTGGAAGAAAAGGAGGGTCTGGAAATAAAAATTGCTGAATTGGAGAAAATGCTAAAAGAGAGACTCGATGAGGTCATTGCTCTTGAGAAAAAAACGGAGGATGTGCAGAATGAAGCGTCCACCCAAATTGCTGCATTAACAGAACAAGTTAACAATTTGCAGCAGCATATAGACTCACTGCAGTTGGATAAAAGCCAGTTGGAGGTTCTAACACAGAGAGGTAAACAAGAGTCCACGGAAAGTTTGGCTAAAGCTGAGAATCAGAGAGCTGAATTAGTTGAGAAGATTGCAGACAAGGATAGAATGCTGAAAGAAAAGGAAGATGCATTTATCAAATTGAGCGAAGAGCACAAAAATCTCGAGGGTGAGTTTCAAAACTGTGAGGAAAATCTCAAATCTGCAAAGAAAAAGATAGAAGAGATGACAGAACAGTTCCACAAGGATATAGATACCAAAAATCTGAAAGTTGATGAACTGGAAGAAAACATTGAAGACCTGAAAAGAGATCTGGAGATTAAAGAAGATGAACTTTCTACTTTGGTAGAGAATGTACGAAATACTGAAGTTAAGCTCCGGTTAACAAATCAAAAGCTCCGAATCACAGAACAGTTGCTGACTGAGAATGAAGAGGACCAGAGGAGAAAAATAGAGAAGTTGCAGCAAGAACAAAGCGTACTTGATGAGAGGATTGTGTCATTGTCTGGAACGCTTGCAACTAATAAAGAGCGTCAAATGAAAATCGTGTCAGAGGTAACGGAGAGAGTAAATGAAACTTTGACAGGATTTGATACATTTAGCGTCAAGTTTGAGGAAGATTATGGACACTTAGAGTCTCGAATTTATGAAATCGTGAATGAGCTTAAGATTGCAGCTAACTGGATAAAAGAGACCACAGCTGGGAAAAACGAGCTAAAGAAGGAAATCGCCAACTTAGTTCAGCAACTGAAAAATGAAAAAGAACAAGAGTTGCTTTTGAGAGAGAAGGTTGGAGAACTCGAGATAACATTGCAGAAGGCAGAAGGTGAGAAGGAAATTTTGAAGAAAACGGTAACAGAACGAGAAGAGAAGTTGGGAGAGCTGGAGAAAATGGTAGAAGAAAGGGACGAAAAGATGAATGAGAAAGAACAGGGATTCTTGAGCCTAATTGAGGAGAAAAAGATGGCCATAAAACAACTGTGTATTTGGATTGATTATCACCGCAACCGCTATGATGATCTGAAAGAAATGATCACAAAATCGACTAGTGGAAGAAGGCAGATAGCCACATAATGTATGTGCAATATGTAGTATAGATCATACCCGACAGTACAAGATTTTAGTTTGCCAAGGCACGGTAGAAGAGCTGAACCAAGGAACCCTTACCTATGGAAGCTTTCCGAAAACAGATTCGAGATTCTAAACATGGAGTCATCTATTGGATGGAGACAATTATAATCATGGTAAGATTGTCCCATTCACTTTTATTTTTAGGCATGTTAGGTTTATACATTTAGCAATGGATTATGATTGTTTGTTATATTTGTTGGATAAGGTAACTCCTGATTTTCTCAGGGGATTGTAAGTAGGTGCTGGCTGGTATATTATTGCAATTTGTTTTGGTAGTGTTTTTATCCAATTCAATCAATTGTTGCTTTCTGAAAACGTTATTCGGAATTTTGTATTGCAATTCAGTAACAACGTTTGTTGCTTGATTTTAATCCTCCCCCTTGCTTTACCGCTTTAAGAAATACATAACATCTTAAGAGATTGGATAAGACGGTGGCTTTGAACAATATTAAAAAGCTTTTTTTAAAAGTTATTGGTGATGGTGAAATTTGAATCTTAAAACTTTACTATCTTAAATCCACATAATTAAGAAACTCGAGAAGGTACAATTTATTTATAATTATAATTTTTCTAAAGTTTTGATTCGTGAAATTCGAATATATAGTTTTTGCCAAGTCATTAGTATAAAATTTAAAAATATGACACTTTCTAAGATAAAAGTGCGATCCATTATATTGTATCTTCTCACCATCAGCAAGTTATTCAATTTGAAAGCACAATGAAATTTGGAATAAAAGTTTATATTTTGTGATTACTGAATAATTGTGAATTCCTATTGTATCACCTCTATTCCGACAAAATAAACTAATTCGCCTAAAGTCGGAAAAATCAACAAAATCGACATACCGATATCAAAATTGAATATTTGTTTCCAAGCGCAAACCAGATTTCAAAACTCATAATTCTAATATCTAATAATAAGCTATGAATACATATGTATCATCAAATTCTTAATAACTCATTATTGCCAGTGTTGGAACATGCAAAGAAACTAAAGAACGGGCATGTGTATGTATGTGCTTGGAAGCTTCCTATCACACAACTTACCTTATTTGCCGCTTCTACTAGCAAATATTAACATGGAAGTTTGACAAATAACTTGAATTTCTCCTCAGCATGCTTCAATCAGATATCCTCATTTCGACTCCAAGAGCGTCTTTTACTACCTCGTATGTCACAAATGCAATTGCTATAGATGGGACCACCTAAAATAAGTTACAATGTGTGTTCAAATAAATCTATTCCAAATGTTATAACACGTTTGACAGAAATGCATGTCTGTCTCAACGAAGTTCTCTCCACTTGAGAATAGTCTAAAAAGCTTCATGAGATATTAATTACGATTAATAACCCTTTTATGCTTGAATCTTGATCAATGGTGAGGAGGAAGATCTCTACGTTTATTTGTTTACTGCGAGGGTGATATTGCTTGTTACTATCTCAAAGTTAGTAAGTTGCAACTTGCGCAACCTTCTTTCGATGTTATTACTACATTTCCATCTTGGGAATACTACATGATTGGTCCCAACCTATTGCTCAGGTAGCAAGCTAGTTCTCAACTATGCACAATAAATCCTCATTGAAAAACTACCCAAATCTCCGTTAAAGTGTCACGCAAATCTCACTTGCCCAACTTTATGAAGCTAGAATTCGTTTTTTTCAATTTAGACAGGTGCCCAAAGGTTTGATGTGAGTTGTGTTTTTATGACTCGTTATTTGCTCAATTTTCCCTTTTTTTGGGGGTGGGTGGGGCCGGGAAGGTGAGGGAGGTGGTCTTTTTATCCATATGATATTAGTTAAGATGCCAAAAGAGTAAATTCCCAATAGACATCAAGTAATATCATAAAAAAATGTAAAACTAACCTTGACTGAATTGGGGACTAAGCCCTTATACAGGGCTCCAAATCCCTCGTTTCGAACTGTTTTCCGGAATGCATCAATCATTCCCGTATATTCAAGTGGGGCTTTACTCTTCCCGTCTCCAGTGACAACAGATGCAGCATGTTTCCAGCCGACCATCTGCATTCTTCGACGGATGACATCAAGAGGGTAAGCAACTGTCTGGCCAACAGTTCCAGCAGCAGCTCCACATGCAAGCTTTGTCGTAACACTCAACTCAGAGTCTTCATTTAGTCTAAATGGTTTGCTTCTGATCAACCAATCTTTCAAAGATTCATATACTGCAAAATTGAGACCTACGTAGGGTATCTGCAAACAAGACTTGGCACATGAGTTCTTGCTAATAAGAATTAAAATAGAGCATTTTAATGCTACCGATGGAGATCCTTGACGATACTCTTGAAGACTTGCAATTATCTAGACCATCACTCCAGGATGAAGAATAAATATATTGAAAGTTTCTTTGATCAATATTATTTATTTCCTTTCCATAGTAACTAGTTTTAAATTAGGTAATTTTCCAATTTTGTTGGTTTGGGAGCTCCTCGTTTACCAGTAATTTATGTACAAGTACTTCTAGGGTTTATTCAGTATAGATAAGTCAGTCGAACAGAATTGAATTGATATTGGAATTTATCCTCTTATTCTCTCTCTCTCCCTTCTTCTCTATCTTTCCCCTTATTCTCTATATTCTTCTGTCCTGTACAATTATACCATGTGCTGCATCAGCCACTAACCAGAAAACAGAATGATTATGGAAATAATCAAAAAGACCAATAAAATTGCTACAGCTTGGTCAAATAATAGAACATATACTTACAACTCCTATCACAGAAGGAAGCCATCCTTTGTACAGAGCACGAGGACCCTCCTCAATAAAAACAGTTTTAAGAGCATGGAAAATTCCCCTGTACTGTGTCGGAGACTTGTCTGTCTGCAAAGAAAAGTACAGGCTAAAAAACTCAACCATCAATTGCCTAAAAAAACCATCAACAGCCTGAAGCAAAGAAGTTAAGAATTCAGGAGAAAATTGCATCATAAAATAGCGTAAATGGATACTCCTATGTGGTACCTGAACAGTAAGCCGCCCCCGAACCATGTCCATTGGGTAAGTTGCTGACATGGCTATGATTCCAGCACATGCTCCAGCTCCAAGACGTAGAACTGGAGTGAGTTTAGCATCCTCTACAGGTGAAATCCATTGGAACGTCAAGTCATAATAAATTCATACCAAAAATAAGTCAATCAAATGAAGTCACACGGACCATGTTCAATGGAATTTAATCATTTTCCAAGGTGTGACATCTTAATGATTGCATGACATTATACTAGCACAGAAATGAATGCTTCGATGCCATAAATGTAGGCTGGAGAGTAAAATTCCGTCTGCTAATTGTTTGTTACATCTTAAGAATGAAGATTTTGGTTACAGGATCTCTTAAAACGAATCACTCAATTTCTTAGATATCTGAAACTAATAATTGCTTTTTAATGTTTCAAGTATCAAGTCCTTCAGTCTATCTCCACTCATAAGGGGCAATATTGCATAACAGAATTCATAGAGAAAACCTTCAATATTCTCCAATCAACATGGTAAGAATCAAGTAGAGATTCTAGAACATTAAGTCAAGCTATTGTTTAGTAGCAGGGAACTTCGTGATGAGCATGAAAATAAAGGGCAATTATAATCAGTGTATTGACTGTGAATTTGCAGCATGCTTGGCGAGGGCACTTACAATCATTGTATTGGCTGTGAATTTACAGCATGCTCGGCAAAGCTTATAATAGCATATAACCTGGCCAAACTCTATTTTTATCCACACATTTCGTATGACCAACAACTTTTATCCACTTATTATTTACATATTTCATAGGAGTCATTACTTATAATTATTACATACTTTGACAAACATGCACGTAACTTGACATAAATTAATCAAACCAGCCACTGGATTAAGAAATTTGAGGATAAAACAATAGCACACTATTGTTTCTACCTTTGCTATAGTTGAATTCTATGATGTACTGTGCTGGATATGCCGACACGCTATTTTCTTTTTTAAAAAAAAGTGCTGACAACCACGTTGTCGACACGTTAATTAAATTCTTTAAGAATCTTCATTTATATAGTATATATTTAGTTTTATATTTGTTATTAATTTTTGTTGTAGAAATCTTTTAAATATGAATACTGATATTTTATTTATGATAACTTTGAATTGAAAATATATAATAATTTTGATAAAGAAAAAAAATCATTATAGAGTGTTCGAGGATTGCTAGTATATGAAACGTATTCGATACGTGTTGGATACGAATACGCCGCTCTAATTGAAGTGTCTGTGCAATAGAGGTTGAATTTAGGCACCGCAAAAAAGCCTAAGCAAAACCATAGAAGTTGATACGAGCACTGAATGTTTTAGACACTGTAAAGTATAAGTGTTGGAACGACACAAGCAAGCAAAAAGAAAGTAAATCATACCATTTCCAGTTTGCTTACGATATAACCACAATATTCCCCTGTACAAAAGAAAACATTCATTTCAAGTCTTTTACATATACAATGATACATAAAAGATACATACATGGATTGATAAACTCTAGATTTAAAAGACGCCAGAGGCTAGAAGATGTTTATCACAGAAAAAAAGACATGTAATCGACTAAAATGTAAGATAAAAAATGAGAATATTTGCCAACAAGTGGAGGTGGAATAGATTGAGGATAAATTAAGGGCATGTTATCTAAATTATTGGAACATGGTTTGCAAACACGTAAAGAGACTCCCTCTCGTAAGTGTGTGTGCTTGGGAGATATTTTCTAAAGCTCAAAAGAGCTTTTTGGAGGGAGAAAGCATTTTTCCTCTTTCCAAATATATTCAACACGTATCAATAAAAAAATTAACTCCTAATATTGTCGATTAAATTTCGGACGGTTAATCAAATGTTTTATATAAATTTTTATCATATTGTATCACTTTAAGTTGATATTAGCTTTACTTATGTTCGTTATGTGTTGGTGTGTTAAAATATATTATAGAAATTGCAATTTATGTGTATAATTTGAACAAATAAATTTTAAACAATACCATATATATTAAAATAATTGTGCCATGATAAGCTAATTGAAATAAATTTCTTAATAGATTTAATATCATATTAAAAAACAATGTTATGTAGCACCACTTAAGACTATTCTTGGTGGCAACACGTGGCATTAAATGATACATTCAATTAAATAAAAGGATGTAGGCCTATTTAATTGAACATATTATTTGATACCACTTAGGGCTTGTTTGACATGGCTTTGGGAAAGTCAAAAGGAGTTTTTGAGGCTTAAAAGCTGCTTTTTGATCTGTTTGGTTAAATTTATAAAAGTGTTTCTTCCGGTTAGAGAGCTTTTAGAGAAAATTGGTACAACGTGGCTTCCTTGAAAAACACTTTCGAAATAGGAATTTTCTTTTAAAAATTATTTTCTAAAAAAAATTAAGATAACTTCTTCCAAAAACTCGTCTATAGAAATCAAAAGCTACGTCAAACGGGCCTTAGACAAGTGTTAAACATGACTGGTGCTAGATAACATTACTCTATATTAAAATAAATCTTATTCATGAAAGAAAAAATTATAAGATATATAGAAAATAATTAATGTTCACTCCAAATATGAAGTTTATACAAAAGTACTTTTAGGTTGCCAAATAATCAATTTAACGTTGAACACGCTTTCTAGATTGATAGCCAAACTAACAACTCTTTTTGAAAAAATTCTAATGCTAAAGGCTCTAACTATTAAAACTCCACTCATAACAGTTGTGTCAAATGCACCCGAGTAACATGATCTCAGTAGAACAAGTCAAAACGCTAAAGGGAAGACCAAATTAACATGGTATGTTGTAATTGCTGAGGAACTAGTTGGTTTGGATCTAGCAATGAACTAAATGAAGTCGGAAAAAATGATCATATAGTCTACCACAAATTTATTGTTATTGTTGCTGTAAAATGCACTGGCAACGTCTATAATTGGGATGCATCTATGAGTGACACTCTTAACAAAAAGTAGAAGAAAAACAGAAAACAGCAACCTACTTTGATGCCTCCTCATAGCTAAAGAACTTGACGGCAGAGTTTGGGACTATGCGTGCACAATTAGTGCCATTTCCTTTGAACAATCCCGTGAAACCCTCTGTTCTCCATATGTATTTTAATCCCTGCACTGTTCCACTATATTTTATACTGTGAGGATTTTGCACCTGCAGTTTTCACGAATTAGTAACTTCCCTTTGATTTCTCACAGCAACAAAGAAAGACTCCAAAAAATAAAATGCAATCGCAACATATCAACTTGAACAACAAAATTTAGATCACTACTAGGCCTATGTCTGAATTCCAACAAGGAATATGAATGTCCCAAATTTGTATTGAAACCTGCACCAGTGCATACTCACCGAGAGCACTTCGATGTGCAAGTTTTACAGATTTTTGCAAGAACACTTAAATGTTGACTTTGGATGAAAAGGATACCATACAAATTGAATCCCAAAAGAGACTGTTGAAGGGTTTGTGTATATAAAGGATAGCAATAACGTGGCTGGGCATTTAAGGTGCTAATTTGAACTCACTAGACATCATAAAACAAAGCGTAGAATTATAGGAAGGATAAACAGCATATGATATCCCATATCTAAATGCTAAACTTTAGTTCTAAGGAAAATTAATATCATAGAGAACCAGGGACAGAGAAAAGGGCACAATTTGTACAACTACGTAATGTCACAAGCAATGGAATCAGTGCTTCAGGTTCCCTCTAAACGAGGTATGGAAGACAGCCCTTACGAAGCCTTTATGTTAGTTTATTCACTCTCTACCATGGCCAAAGTTTAAAATTTAATAAATTAACATTTCACTAATAAAATAATTATCATATTCCTAGTACCAAGATTCCAAAGCTACCTGAAGCAAAATTTTTAAACGTTCCAATGGAGCAACTGCAGTCCGCGACCTGTGACAAGAATACATTGCATGTATATTGACATTAGTTTCAAGAATGCCAAATGGACGGAGAGTATATTCTTGCCTCCATTTCCATTATTGGCCCACAACAAATTACACCGTAAATTACTTGGTATTCCACGATTTCTTCTCTTCTTAGGCACTTTGGTAACCATACTCATTTTTTTTCTTTCTTCATTTTAACCACTCATTCTCCCAATAAAATAATATTACACACAAATCTAAAACAACTTTACCACCACACATTCTCCGAAAAATGGGTACTCAAAAAAAATGGGTGTCAAACACCCTACAGGTAAAAATATAAATAAATTTAGCAATAGATAGATCTATTCAGAAATGGATATTGATCTTGTTTCAAGATCTATAAGCAAGATAGATCCGTAAATATCCCTTCGAAAAAAGAGATGAATAGATATTGCTAAGCCAGCAGAAAGAAATGGCGCGGACATAGGTGTACACCTCTTCCCCTGTCTCCAAACTCTCCACCCTTTTAGAAATGGCTAAAGCTGGACCCACTAGAAATATTCTTGTTATCAGAGTATGTTTGATTGCAATAATGTAATTTGAGTGGAAAGAAAATGAATTTTATGGAATTGAATTGCTTAGAATTTGTTTTATTGAGAATTGTCAATTAATTGTGTTTGATTGGTATAATTTCCACCGAAAAAAATATTGAATTTTTTGGATCTTTTGGTGTTCGTTTTATTTTATTTTCTATGAAAATTGTCAATTAAACAGATGCAATTTCTTTTCATTGCCAAAAAAAAAAAATAAAAAAAAATAGCCTAAAAAACCAATTCCCAATTGATTTACCTTAAAAAGCAAGAAAATGTGAAAAATCAATTATCTGAAAATTGTTTCATATCAAACACTCTAAAAAATAGAAAATGGCAAAAAGTTTTCAATCTTCCATGAAAAACTTGCCCAATCAAACATGACCTTACTTTAACTCTTATTCGACAAAAGGTGAATTCCACTCTAATGGCTTATAATAAATGACCTTGTGCGTTAAACTGAGAGGAGTAGCTCAAACTCTAATAGATTGATCTATATTTTCATCTTTATTCGATGTGAAATTTTATTCCTTAACATGCACTTGCAAGATTGTAGCTCGTTTGAGCACATCAATCTTAAAATTCGTGTGCTCAATTTTTTTTAATCTTAATCGGATCGAATTGTTCGTTAGAAATTAATGGGCTCTGATACTATGTTAAGATTTGAGATTCCAAAAAATATCAACCTTATTAAGATGAGTAATCCAAATAAATTAGTCCATCTTTTCATCTTTATTCGATGTGAAATTTTATCCTTTAACATGCTCTACAAGATGGTGGCTTGTTTCAGCAGGCAAATTTTTAAAAAAATAATTGTGATCGAATATTTTTTTTAGTTTTAATCGGATCGAATTGATCGTTGGAACTTAACGGGCTCTGATACCTTATTACTATTTATGTTTCCATCTTAAAATATCGAGCTTATTAAGAAGAGTAGCTCAAATTCTTATAATGTTTTCATCTTTATTCAATGTGAGATTTTATCTCGTAAGATGGTGGCTCATTTGAGCAGACCAATCTTGAAATCCGTGTGTTGAATATTTTTTGAGTTTTAATTAGATCGATTTCTTTGGAGTTTAATGAGTTCTAATACCATGTTAAGATTTGTGATTTCATATTAAAAAATCAACCTTATTAAAAGAATTAATCTAAACCCTTATAAATTGGTTTATATTTTCATCTTTATTCGATGTGAGATTTTATTCTCAACATTATGATG